CGTATGGAAGCTCAGCCTCTGGCATCCCCATAACCTCACCTCTCCCATAACCTACCTCTCTCCCTCCTGCAGTTTCTCATCCCCACTCTTCCCAGCCTTCACCACAACCTAGGTGATTCTCTCCAGTTAGTTTCCCTCTCCTCAGGTCAGCTGTCATGCTGCTGGTCAGGCCTTGGGGGCAGCATGCTCAGCTCAAATGTGAGGTCTGTCAACATGGATTCTAAACATTGCTGCACACATGATGAAATCTCAACCACACGCTCTGCTCTATTCCCAGGCTTCCTCTACAGGCTCCTCCCTGACTACTTCCTTCCCAATTCCACTCACCCCAATACTCTAATCACACCATCTACTCCATGTTTCCAGTACCACGTGCATTCTTTTCTTTTCTTTTTTGTCTTTTTCATTTTTATCGGTACCAGGGATCGAACTCACGACTGTACACTTGCAAGGCAGACACTTATGCCGCTGAGCTAAATCCCCAGCCCCTACCACATGCATTCTTAAGCTTCTGCATCTTTGCTTTCACAGTTCCTTCTGTATGGGATTCACTTTCCCCATATTCCTATACAGCTAAATTCCTCATTCAAGGGTCATTTACTCTGGGCAGCCGTTCTCTATTCCTTTTTGAAGCTTTGGTAACATTCTTTTGTCTGGGTTCTCATAGCAAATGACTCATTATTACAGGAAGACAGGGGATCAAATGTAAAACTTTTTCTTTCTCCTTCTCCATCACTCCCAACAGAAACAAAGTGACTCACACCAATGGGCACATTTTCTAGGGCTTGATAAACTTGATTCCTCTACATTTCTAGGTGACATGAGTAGAAACCAAATATGTCTTCTTAAGGAAGGCTTAGACGAACTTATGAGCAGAAGAGTCACCAATATATGTCTACGGCAATCATCTGGGTGTAGACAAGACTTAAAAGCCAAGACAAGAGTGATAATTTTTACTTTTTTTATAATACAGATAATGATTAAACAACATGGTTGTGAATGTCCAACAACGGTTCTTTGCCTAATCAACAAGTGATCAAAAGTTGAACAAAGTCTTATTACTTCCAAGGAAGGGCTTGAACTGTAAGAAAAAGCTTAAAGCTATCTGCAGTGGCCAAGCTTTACACTGAACTCCATTCATCTGCAGACATGGTTCTAGCCCCTTCTTTCATTTGACATGAAACACTAACAACCTAACCAGTGTTCTGATGCTCAAGAAGAAATTAGCCTTTTAGAACAGCTTTGACTCTGTTTCTCTCCATGTTGAGTCTTGACCTTTTATTAGCTTGTGTGACTCTGCTCTTATATTCTTTGTCTTTATGTGAAATGAAAACATCAAAGATACTACTGGAAATAACTCATACCTTCACCTTGATTTTATAGCCTCTAAAATGATATCATTATGACCATCCATTGGATGCTTAAATACTGACAATATTTCTTATGAAATTGGAATAAAATACTTTCAACTGAAAATGACAAAAAGCAAACAAGGAGATCATGATTTTTTTTTATAAGAATGATTTCCGGAATTGATTCAGTGCTTGTTCAGGACCTAAACAAGGTACTCCTCATCCTTACAACCTCTGGAAAGTTATGGTATAAATTAGCAACTAGTGCAGCTGAGAAACATAACTTTGACAAAAAGATTTATGTAAAGGAATACACCAAGTTTTTGTTCAGAAAAGGAAGTGTGGGTGCATCTTCTTAATGAAATAAAATTGCAAGAATTGCTCATCTCCCATGGAAATTTCAGTCTCATTTTCATAAGACTTTTGAAGCACTTTAGGAGTCAAAGTAGAATAATTTAGAATGCTTGGCTTATTAACATACCTAATTAATGACACCCTGGGAGTTTTAATGATGGATAGGTTCCCTGCTTTATTATGGATTTAAAATAAAAGCTTACAAAAGGATAGGCTCACAGGAGTCAATACTCCAGTTAAATCTCTTGCTATGGGAGGGCCTGCTGGTCTATAAATGTTGAAAAGGTCTTGGATTCAGGCTGTGGTCATCCTCAAAAGTTTGGGCAAACAATATTTTCTCAAAAAAGAAATTAGCAAAGAATGCTCATTTTGCTGGCTGAACACAAAGTCTCTTCCATTATGCCTTTTCCACTATTCTAGCCCACGGTGAAGTTTTCTCTCTCTCTCTCTCTCTCTCTCTCTCTCTCTCTCTCTCTCTCTCGCTCTTTTAGGAAAAAACTCACAAAGTTTATTAAAATTTCAAGCAACACCAGAAAATTTCAACAGAATTTTCCTTATACTAGTCTTACATTTCCATGATGAATACAACTATTATGCACAGCAAACGTGTACTAATAAAAATTTTAAGAAAACTTTTTTTTACAAAGGAAAATCAATGCAAATCCTGAAGACACACACTGGGATGATGAGTCAGATAGTGGAAGTGTTCACACTTTCAGAATACATCAGAGCCCAGCTCCCTGCCACAACTTTCTGACCCCATGGGATCAAAACCCATTACCTCTTTCTTCATCTATAGTAGGCTGAGACTTTCTGTTCACCTAAAAGTTCCCCACAAAATTTTAAAAATATGTTTTTCTCAAATGACTGTGTAAACCCCAAGCTGATTTATCACACTAATCATGTAGACCTTTGTTAGCCATCATCCCGAAACTATATCTCAAGCTAGGCTGTGCACAGTACCATGCGTTATGCCATCTTAAACAACAGAAGGCTGCCTTGGCTCAATGTCTCCCATTTGTGGCCCCTGCTTTGGAGAGGAAGGCGAGAAGGGAGAAGTTGTCTCTGCCTCAAACACAGGTGGCTTCTTCCTATGGATGAATGTGGTCAAGTGAAGCTGTTGAAGATGTCCAAGGAAATGAAAAAACAGGACTCTTGTAATTTCTGGAGCAAACTGGCATCACATTTCAAGCCAAGTTTGTTATTTTCCAGTTTCAGCTAAGTTGCCCAAGACATTGAAGCTCTCAGATCACTGTGATACTAGCAGCTCATCAGATTGGGGTTACTAAGACTTGTGTTTCAGCCTCTAATGACCTGCTCTTTGTCAGGGGTCTGCCACTGGGGTGGACGAAGGTGGCTTTTTCTTTGGAACATTTTTTCAAGTGAGATGATGCATGCGGGCTGCAGGAAAACTGACAGGAAAAGGAGAGAGCAAGTTTGATGGCTCCTTTCATTTTGGGGAGGCACAGGTAGGGACTCAGGAGCTGGCTCCTTGAAGCTCGGCCTGGATGGCATTTTCTCTGGTTGCTATAGGTCTTCTAGGATCTGTAGGAGGGTCTTCTTGAGGTCAGCTCAGAGCCCAGCTTGGGGTTCATTGGCTCCCTGATTTGTTTCTTCAAGATTTCCAACTTTTCCCTCACAGCTACCATTAGACGATTCTTCACCAGATCCATGGCCTGCTCACTCTTATTGATGGCCACCAAGCAATTCTTCCTGGGCTCTGAATCTTCTGGCTTTGTCTCAAAAGTCCACTCTCAGTCATCTGCCAGTTCCTCCTGCTGCCCCTCTGCCTCTGGCTGCCCTCTGGGGTTACAGATATAATTCTCAACAAATCACAGTATGGTGTTAAGATTTGTTTTCTTCTAGCAAATGCTGTTCTTTGAGTCAATACCATATGATTAAATATTATAGTCAGTGCGTTAAGCTTTTTAAAAATGTCTCTCCACTATTAACATACTAGAGAATTCGAGCTACACTGATCAATCAATAAAATGGATTAACAAATTTGCCCATTTTAACATTACCAGTAGGTATCATCTGTAGCATTTGCATGATGTGTGTCAATATGAAAACTACAAGCCTTGCAATGAATAAGCTCAAAGTCCTTGTGGACTATGCAAATGTCCCAGGTCTAGATAGTCACTTGAATCTTCAGTACTTAGGCAAATTACTTGCCCCTTACAGACTGAGCTTTTTCCTTTTATATCATTTGCTATAATGAATGTCACACAAAGAGTGTCCAAAACAGCAGGTAATCAATAAATGGAAGAAATAAAGCTAAATTTGGGGCCTTGGAACTTAGTTTAAGCATAAGAGGAAAATGCAAATGTTATGCAATAGGTCGAGAGCAATATTGCTTTCCTAAAGAGGTCCCCCTGAGTCTCTTGGTCTATAGCAGACTTGAAGGCTAGGCAGATGAATTTTATTATTTTTAATGCTTATTCTAGTTCTGTTTCTAGAGAGCACACTGAATTTACCAGGAGACCTGACTCTCTAATAGAATCATAAGCAAATAATTGCTCTTGGTTTTCATGTCCATAAATCCCAAAATTAAATAGTCTCTTCCCAATGGACATAGAAATTCAAGGCAACAGCTACATTAAGGTAATAACAAATAAAAATAAATGGGAAAGATCAACAAAAGAAACACTAAAGCACAAGGGAATCAAATACTTTAATAGCCCCATTTCACAAAGCATAAAATAAAACCACATGGTGACAGAATTTTATTTCCATAAGTATTAAGCTCACTGGCAAGCAATTTAATGTGAGGAATGGCCCAGGACTGAGAAGGTTAAAAAAGAAACCAACGATAAAGACAACTTGTACTATTGTTATTGTTAGCTTTGAGTGGAAGTCCACCTGTCTGGCCGCTGGAAGCAAGAAAACGACCCTCACTGTCCTGGAAGCTACAGAAAGTGAGCAAGTTCATCATCATCTTAGGCAAAGTATGGTTTCAGTGAGAAAGTTTACAGAAGAGCAGGGAGAGGGCTTGTTAAGCTCTCCTGTAGCCAACCTTAAATTGGAGGCTCCCAGTGGGCAGAGGATCACTGCTTTCCCTGCCCTGCTTTCCCTTGCTGCAGTCTCTGATCAGACTCACTTCTCACCAAGTGCACAATGATTCAAAGCACATTTCCGGTCAGGCAGCATCACTGTTAGCTGAAGTGTAGATCAGAACAGGAGGAGCTTTTCAGGAACTACCGAGGACCCACAGGACAAGAAGTGGGAGGCAGAAAGGTCAAGATGGGGGAGAGAAGAGTAATTGCAGATTCCCCTGCACCAGGTCAGCCTCACCTTGCAGGAACACACAGAGCACCTGTCTTCTTTCAGGATCCACACCTGCCCATTGCGCTTCAGACCTCCTTCGTGGGGACAATCGCCAGAACAGGAGGGCCCAGAGGGACACAGACAATCATAGCCCCCGGCCAAGTTGATGCAGGCTGAATCATTCCAACAGGTGTGAGTTCTTAAGGCACATTCATCAATGTCTGCAAGGAACAAAGCACAGGGCTTTAGGGTCTTGCCAAGGAAATGCACAAAAGTAACAATCATCTGCCATAACACTGAGTGACACTATCAGACATGCACCTTGTCCCCAGTATGGCTGCTGTGCCAAGCTCTTCCCATGCATCATTTCCTTCCTCTGTCAGGCAGCTTTGTGTTGGAGGCTCTGCTCTTATTCTTGTCTTATAAATAATAGAGGCCACTAGAGTTAAATAGCAAGTGATTATCCTGAAAAATCAAGCCCAGACCTGCCTGACTCCAGTTATCAAAATATCTAGTAGCAGCTCTGACTGCTTTTAGGATATTCTCAAGTGCTCACTTATCCAGAGGCCGTACACTCCGCTGATTCATTCACTGTGTGCACAGATTGTCAACTGAGTAGGAACAAGAGGGCAGTGAGGCAACCTGGACCCAGTTAGGTCTCCCTTTCCCCAATCTTGAATTCAAGGCTGAACTATAAATGTGACTAATTATTGACAGCTAATTGAATTCCTTCCACCCTAATGATCGGTGTATTTTGATACCACATACTAAAAACCAGAGCTGGAGTAGAGTCTGGTATGGCTGCTAATGAAATACGTATCTATGATATGCTTTTTTCATTGACATCCCAGTAAAGCAAGATGTAGATCCAGCCAGCTCATTATGCTGGGCAAAGCAGAGTGAGAGCTTTGCAATACCCTAAACACATGCCTGGCTAGACTGGATTGCAGTCTTTCCCAGAGGGCAATCCATTCCCTCACTAGGCAGCCAATGGTACCTGTGAATAACTTTTTAAAACAAATCTCCTTGTAAAACTGAGAGGCAATGTATGACCTGGCAACTTTTACTCACTGGTACTATTTGTGAGATTCCCTCAGAGGTCTTTCATTTTTGTAACATTTTTAAGCCATCTGAAGGTCCCTGTAATTTGTCTATCAGAGTCCTCCATTTCCCTTGAATAATCTACTGTCTGCAAGTACCCTTCAGATAGTAATATGAACTAGATTTCCTTAACAACATGCTATGCACAAGATTCTTTGCACCCTATATGTTTTAAGTGTTGAAGTTAATCTCTAATATATTACCTCCTTAAGATCATAGCTGACCACTGGAACAAATATAAATATCTATTAGTAGGCTACTTTCTGGTAGACTTGACTACTTCTGTAGGAAAACAAAACAGAATAGTAACTTATTCTAAATCCTAAATTTCATCTTAAAACGTACATAAGTTTGTAAGCATTTGGTGAGGGGTAATGGAATCAAAGTTTTAAAAACAGAGTATTCTCTTATGGTACACCAAAGCAATTGCAAAGAGCTACTATCCAGTGCCACAATTTTATATATTTATATATACATATGGATAGGGTTATATATGCATATAAAAACTATATATATATATATATATATATATAGTTTTTATATTACTTTGATGAGTTAGGGTTCACAATCATAAGTTTGAAATATTTATTTTCCTTTTATGAAAGAGATAACTGAGGATATACTGGTTACACAGGAAGCACATCATAGGGCGGGCATTGTCCTTGTTTTTCTGATTGATGTGCTATAATGCTCTCCAGCAACTTGCACCAGCAGAGGTCTGAAGACTTTTTTGAGCATAAACATGTTCTGGGTCTTTACCTACTTTTAAACTATTTACCCTGAAATTTACCCCGAAATAAACACTGAAATTCACTTTCCAGGGCAAGAGCTTGCTCACAAAGACTGATTGCATTTTAAAAACAAACAAAAAACACCCATTCATTTAGAAGGCATATTGCCTTGGGCTAGGTGTGTTTGATGAGGGGTTGGTAGTTTGAGAGGGATTAATGGCAAAGTGTATTTCATTGTTGTAATTTTTAAAATTGAACATTCAGTATGAGCATCAATCGTCCCTTATAAATAATTTTTAGTTGGAATATAGTTTTAGTTGAAACTCAGAAAAAGAATAATTACCCAAAGTGTGCTAAAATTTTGAAGCAAACATGACTTAAAAATAATGAGAAATAAATGGCCTGACAGCATGTATTGTATTTAGTATGGACTTTAATTCACAGCGCTGATGCAAAGTAGAAGATATTAAACGACTACAGCAAAATTTGTGGAAGGTAATTCCATAAATATTTGTTTGTATATTTGTTTTGTTTTGTTTGCTTCCCACCAATTATAGCCTGAGTCAAACCGCTGGACTGAGGAACAGTCTTGGAAATGGCACAAATGATCCCAATTATCAGGCTTGGGTTTCAGGTCAGTCACTGTCAGGCCTCACGCTCTCTCTCCAGGTAACACCCAGATCATCTCAGTGCACCCCACCGCATGGTGCTCTTCAAATTCCTGCATGTCTCCCCCTCCTTCTTCCTCTAATTCTTCCCAAATAAAGCTGGCACTGAATGAAAAAGTCAGGGAACCAGGCGGAAAGCAAGCTCTTCCTTATAACGCAGGGATTTTACGCCCCATGGCTTATGCTGCTGAGCACATTAGTTTCAGTCACAGTCCTTTATCACCCACATGAACCTATCATCCACTGCTGGTCTCCTGACAATAACACTATAGGTAATGGAACAAGGGCTCCGCATATATCATCTGTTTCTTCATTAGATTAATGCAAATATTTAATACAAAATTCAAATTCTGCCTTCTCAGTTAAGCATTTCCCAACCCACTGCCAATTCAATCTCATCATTCACATCTTCTGAACGCTCATAGCAATGACGACTAGTAGACGACGCCTTCATATTTAGGGATATGCCACTGTGAATCAACACTGAACAATCACATGCACATTACTCCTGCTCCTTAGTTTCTTTCTTTCTTCATTTTTTTAAAAGTAGCATATTAAAAATATTCAGTCACATATTTCTCTCATCATATTTATAACCTAGTTATCATAATATAGGAGGATATGATAGGTAGGGAGATAGATGATGCATAGGTAGTGAAAGATAGGTAAATGGTTCATCATATATAAAATAAAATAATACGAACTCAGGTTGCTTTAAGCTCTGTGGATTCATATCTTCCCATTCACCACAGTGAGATTCCTGTCACAGACTTCAAACTGGTCTCCTTGCCTCCGACACTTCCCATGATACTGCAGTGATTTGTGGCCGAGCATAACCACACTGTTTTCAGTCTTAAAAAATGCCAAGAGCTCATGTTTACCACCACCAGGAGCTGACTGAACTGGTATAAAACAGACAAAGACCTCTGGATTCTGCTCAGCCCCAGGAAAACCATTGCCATCCACATCTTTCACAGCATAGTGGCGCTTAAAAAGCAAGCTGTCTGCATCACTCCTATATTTACAACGCATCTGTATTACTCTGATGCTTCTAATGGAAGGCTCAAGCTATCAGCTCTTTAACACTTCAGTCATTATCTTTTACCCCTTCACTTTTCATGTGACAGCAAGAGATGCAAAATGTCAGGTAGGTGAAGGCCCACTGTAGGACATGGTGTCTACAGTTGTCAAAATATTACATGCTTGAAAAATACTAAGAATATTATTTTGTGTTCATACCACAAAAAATGACAAGCGTGTAAGGCAATGCATGTGTTAATTAACTTGCCTTAGTCATTACACAATGTATGTATTATGAAATATGTTCAACTTCCTAATATATACTGCTTTACATATTAATTCAAAAACACACACAAACATGTATGTGTTTGTGACATTCAATGGAAGATCACACAAAGGCTATGTTGGTTCCTTTGTATCATAGATCAGGCGTTTTTCTTTTTCTTTTCTTTTTTTTATAATTATAGGGCTACTAATTATTAACCTCTGTGGAATGAAATGAGGTATAAGCTAATTAATTGGTAAAATAAGCGTGTCCTTTACTGCGCTTTCAATGCAGTCTTAAAAATTCACAGTCAGCATCGTCATTCCTCATTGGGCAAGAGAACAAACCTTGACTTTGCTCCCTGTGCCCCACACATGATTTTATTCTTACAGTCACCTCTGGGGAATTGCACACTTAATATATTCCTCTCCATGAACAGTGATTTCATTCGGCGCAGAGACTAAATCTTATTTCTTTCTCTTCACAGAACCAAAAGCAGCAGGATGACTGTGGGTGTTCCATGTATTTATTTAATTTAACTTGCCTAAACCCACAAAGTTCAGACTAAGACTATTAAAAAGACTACTTGGTTAAAATGGAGTCTTTAGAGTGTTCAATGAGAGCGAGGCAGAGCCATCACCTTGCCCTGCATTGAAAATGTTTTGTTATTTATTATTGAGTTCTCATCTGCAAAAGCCCTTGAATCTGGCCCAAGGGAGAATTAATACAGTAGAATATTAACTGGACCCCATGCCACAACTGAAAGCATTTTATTTTCTGGTCAAATGGCGCTGGGCAAGGGCAGAAAATGACCCATTAACAAATCACACCAGAAACTGCTTGCAAGTGTAATTTCTACCAATCTGCTAATAGTGGCTACAAAAGGCTCTGTAATTTATGGTGTCTTCTAAGTAATCTCTAACCTGGTAATTAGTTCCTGGGAACAATGTGCTTTTATAATAATTGGACATTTTGTGTTTACAATGTTGCAAACAGTTTGGCAGTGCTTTCCCCTTACAAATCAAGAAACCTTGAGCATAAAGACAAATACATCTATTGTGCATGCTAAAAAATAGGGTACAAAGGCATAGTTGCTTTCACCTCTCCAGAGTGAAAAGATTTCACAGTTGAACACAGCACCATATTGCCTACAGAGTTCCATGTAATTGTTTTACTTACAACACAGAAATCTAATTTGGCTTTCACGCAGTTTAACAGATTTATGGAAAGGCAGATGTTAGCAATTATGGAAACTGACATTATTCATATTCTTGGTAATACAGACCTGTTTGCTTTGCACAAAGCCAACTTAATCTATTCTGCATATCCCAGGGCACCCAAAGGGAAGAGGCACCCTATTTACATTTTGTAACTGTCGTTCTCTGCTGAGCAAACAAAAAGATGCTCACCCATGAGACTTACCCACATCATCAGAC